AGGCCCCGCCGCGGCCGCCCCGCTCTCTGCCCGCCGGAGCCGGCGGCGCCGCTTTCCGTGGAGATGAACGGCTGCCCCCAAAAGGGTGAAGACACCCTTATTTTAGTCACCTTAAAAATAGCGTGCCGCTTGCGCAGCCGGGCTCGCTGCTTTACCGCAGCCTGCAAAGTCACCAAAAATAATCGGATGTAGAGTTCGCGACTGTCGGTGCCATCATGGAACTCACTGTGAGGTTACTGAATTTTTGTGTGCACATTTTACCCGCGTAAATCTGCTGGTGATATGAATGCAAATAATTTGACACTAGAAATGACAAGTCAGAAAAATAAAGCTAAGGGAAATGGGAGAGGAATAAACACCTAATAATTGTATGGGTTTGCTTATTGCCTTCAATTTATAAATTAATTTATGTTATACACAAAACTAATTTTCAGGTTTCCAAAACCCAAATCACTGGAGGGATTTGCAAATAAAGTACTTTAGTATATTCTCTTCTAGTACTTAGTATCTTCTCTTTTTCTTATTGTATGTGTGACACCTAAATAAGCAATCCAACGATTCTTAGTAACAAAGATTTGCAACTACCAAAAAGATTTGTACATGCAACTCAAATAGGCTATCCAAAATTCAAATTAAGACCTGCATACTAAATCTATATTGCATGAGGTAATTCATGCTGGAATTGAATTTAGCATTATTGCTTTAACTCCTCTTTGGTTAGTGAATTGATCTTACTATTTTTTCAGGTTTGTTTGTTATTATGAGAGAATTGGATAAAGAATCTTCAAGTCAGGATCATCTGCATGCAGGTCATTGGGCTGTTCACCCTTTGCAGTCCATGGCCCATGATGTGCCCTTGACACCCTTCTGTCATCTCTAGCTGGATAACAGAAGCCTCCCAGGTAAGAGAAAAGAAAGCAAGAGAGAAAAATTTATAACACATTTTTGGTGTGTCTCTTTTTCAAATTTCTTATTTCCTTTGGCACAACATAATCAGTGCTTCCTAGAATTTCGAGATCAGCAGCTATTTCCATGTATAACCACCAGTCTTTAACCAAAGACAGAACACCCTGGATGTTTCTGTATCTCAGCCCACTCTGTGTAAAATGAAGACAACAATACTTCCCTTCCCAATCTGCCGCTGCACTCCAGTGATGGTGATTAGGTCTCCCTTGGTGCAGTGAGTTCAGGTCTCTCAGTCTATACTGGACCCCATTGTGGTGGTCTGGGATTGACAGGAATTGCCACTCTGCTGCAGGAGCAGTGGAGCGGGTGTATTTGGGTTGCAAAGGAGCAGGATGTCTTTAGTTTCAGAGGTTTCTTACTTCCCAGAACACACAGAGTGGATGGTGATAAGTTCAGAGCGAGCCATGCACTGGTATTCTCTGGGTCTCTATCATAAGCCTCGTTGCGAGGGCACAGGATACCTTCAGATGAAGTATGTCTGCAAAGTCCTCCGTGGGTTTCACCTGTGCACAGCCTATCCTTCCTTCCATAAGCAGCTTTATGTCCAGTGCTGAGATGGGGGTCAACTCCTGATCAAGTGCATTGACCCCTTACAAATTGTTAAAAGCGATGTGTCTGGAAGCCAAAGAGCAGTCTAAGGACTGTGCTGCTAACCCTGTAAAATGCTGCAACCTTCCTGACAGTTTGTGAGCAAGTGTGTCTTCTATTTCTTCTGCCTTTGTGGCAAAAGATACATCAATTTGGAAAGGGGGTGCTGTGGCTTTGCAAAAAAATGTACTTACTCATCCATACCTGACCAAAATCATTATATCAAGCCAATTTCTCCTGGCCTTTTGTTGTGCTTGTACCCAGCTAGTACTAAACAGCATCCTTGAGCTCTAGGTAGTTCAGCAAAATAAATGGGCTATCTGCAAAAACTGTATATGCTGTTTTTTTCAATTAGATGAGGTGAAAATATGCAGTATAGCAATTTATAACTTCTGGTTACAGCCTTGGAGAATGCAGTCATAGACTTTCATAGTCTGTGTATGCAAGGACGTCCTCCTTTTTACTTCTTTTTCTTTCCATTGTGTGATTATTAGCAACAATGCAAAGCCATATGTTAGTTGCCATGGTGGAGGGGCTGCTCCCATAACCGTCTGAGCAGAGCACATTCTAAACATTGCAGTCTGGAGCCCAAAATACCACAGCAGTAACAGAATCCTTTCTCCAAGTGGTTGCCAGCACTCTCTCCTACTGAGGACCCCTAGGATGCAGTCCTTTTCAGCATACTTCCTTCAAATGCAGCCTCACATCCGTTGTTCAGATCTCATGTGTTCACATTTGTCTTGAATTAGCCTGTGCAGTGACTTTTTAGTGACTCAAAGAGAAAAAGAATCTGCCTTTCTACCAACAAGAACTGAAACGGAAGTTTTATATACGTATTGGTAGGCTTCCAGTACTTCACGGTACCAAACCGTGAGGACAGCTGATGTAAAGTCTAGATTAGGAATAAAAATAAACACAGAAGATGTGCTGCCCTGCATAGTTTGGATGGCTCCAATTTTTGAAACATATATTTAAAAACCCCAGCAGTTATATTTGAATTCTTATTAAAGACCCTGGGCAAAATTCAAATGTCGTTAATGTAGACTAACTCAACAGCAGTGAAATTGTTCTAATGCAGGTTTTACCCACAAGAAAGCTTTCAAAACCCCAACTTCTCTGGTTATCTGTTTAGCTGAGCTGGAGATGGGAGACTGGGTCAATAGTATTTAAATCAACTTTGTTGGGAAAAGTTACCGGCTCAGGTCCAAAACCTATTCACAGGTGCCCTTTACCACACTGAGGAGGAGAGAAATGAAGAAATGAGTGACTTGCTCCAAGAGCTGGATGGACTTTGGCATCGTTCCCTCTCCCCCGGCTTCCCACGTGTGCTGCCGCAGGGCTGCTCTCTCGTGGTGCATGACCCATCCCGGCCCTTCCCAGGCACTCATCTCCTCTGAGCTGGGGAAGCCAGGGCTGCATCCATGAAAATATGTGTCGTGTAAAGGAGAAACAGGCCCTGTGGGTACATGTGTGCATAAAACTTCCTGCTTAAAGTCCTTGTGCATGTTCCTCTGGGTATTCTCTTTAGCTTGCCTCTTGTATCACTACTTACATTCAAGAGCTAGCATCCAATATCTTTTTTTTTCTAAATAGAAAATAGCTCATTATTTGGATTTTTGCCTCTGATTGCTAGTTAATGAAATTTGTTCCAGCTTTAACATCACTGCAACAAGCTACAAAGAATCATTTGTCTCAACTGCCTGGGTCAGGCTCGCTTCTGCAGCAGCTCACAGACGGCGCAGTTATCCAGGAGACTAGAAGAATGCAGTCGAGAATAATGCAAAAATGAGTAAAAGCCAAGGCTCATCAATCTTTGGTTCTGTGCTATTACATCTGTATTGTATTTCAAGCCATGTAGCTCGAACATATTAGCATATGGAACTGTTTGGTCACTTTCTGGGCTCTTGATCCTTTGGAAAATTATCTACAAACTTTAAGGTGCTTGTGTCAAATGAAGAAACAGTGTAATATCAGCCTGTGCAGGCTGTGCTGTTAAATAAGGTTGCATCTGAGGGGTCTGTGGCATATTTCTCTTCCCTCCCACCAGCACCCCTTCCCTGTGCGTTGAAAAGAGGGTCTTTCAGATACTAGTCATGTCACCTATCATCTGCTATGTAACTCAGAAAACCCCAAGGGCCCAGTTCAAGAATCCAAAGCAATTTAGCAGCACATCCCCAATAATGTCAAACCAATAACTGGTAAATGCTGGCATTAGCTTTATTTGGGTTTAGTATTGTGAGAAATTGCTGCTTTATTTTTGGAAATTATAATCCAGCTATCCTCCATTGTGGCATATGAAAAAACTGGGGTTTGTTCTTAAGAGGTGGACTCGGGTTTCCTGTGGCTACAGGTCTCAATCAGACCCATAACTCTTAAATTGCAAATTTTATTGAATATGCTGATGGGTTTACTTTCTTCTTGTCTGAGTTCTGCACCAGCCTCCATCACATCCAGGCTTGTTCAAATCAAATAGCTCTTTTTTCTAGTGAGCTTTCTCTTTGGCTACCCTTTCCCACAAAACCACCTACCACAGATGCTCTCTTGGTGCTTTAGATGTAACATTCAGCTTCCTTGCTGCTTCTACACCTCCAAGGAAGATTTTGCAATAGTGTTAATTATACAGTGTGCTTAGATTTCTCATAACATTATTAACAAATACATGTTTACTTTAGATTTCCTTGTTTGAACTGAATCTAGGAGCTATATCCCATGTGGTATCTTTGACTGAAAAATACCTGGATCCATTCTGTGCAAAGGTGAAGCTTAACATCCTTCTTTTCTCAATAGGAACAAACTGTTCTACAGTTTTACGAGGGGCACAAGCCCAGCACTGTCTCAATTTTCAGAGAACTGAAGCTCCCA